ACCCTCTGGAGAGGTAGCTCTTCTCTGAAAGCCGGCAGTCTGCTCCTGGGCGAGTGGCTCTTCCTCGTGGGAGAGCTCTGATGAGCTGTCGGCTTCCAGCCTCACGGCTGACAAGGGCAGGGGCAGGCGGGACACTTGCTGCTGTGGCTTAGCAGGTGCCCCAGCAGGCGTCAGTGGAGCATGGCCAGGTCACAGCCCAGGGCTGAGGGCAGCCCCTGTCTTGGTGGGTGTGGGTTTGTCATGAGCAGAGGGGGCAGATTCGTGCAGGTGCTGAGGCTGCAGTAGGCTCCAGGCACAGAGAGACGGTGGGTCACTCCCAACTCTAGGCTCAGCGTGGGGCCAGAGAGCAGGCTGGGTCCTGCTGGGGTGTGGGAGGGTCACAAGGGACACCCAGGTCCTAACCAGGGTCCAGAGCCAGCCACCTGGGCTCAGGATCTGGGGCACAGAGACGGGGGTTCAAACTCCAGCTCTGCCACCTTTCGCAAATCCCTTCTGAGCCTCAGTTTCTTCATCTGTAAAATCAGTAGGAAGGGGATTCACTCCCCGTAGAAGACCAGCCTGGAGGCACAGATCGCAGGAGGCTGCTTTCTGCCTCCCCACAGCTGCCCTTGCAAAGCCTCCACCAATGACATGCAGTCGTGGAGCCCACAAGCCCCCACCTTTGGCCAAAGAAAACAGATCAAATCCCCACCCTCCTTGCCCCTACAAACCTTCCTTATCCTTGAAACACAACCTAGGACTGGCCCCGCACACAGGAGGTCCCTGCCCACCCGCCTGTCTCTGTCTGCCAGTCTGGCTGTCGCCTGCCTCCATCTCTGTCCCTAAGTGCAGATCAGACACTTTACTAAACTCTTTCTTCATGGTGGCTCATTTACTCCTCCCCAGAGTCTTATTGGCCAGGCTCTCAGCTTAGCCCCACTTTCTGGGGAGGAATTAAAGCTCCAGGAAGCTCAGAGACTCCTGTAGGTCCGAGTGTCCAGGAAGCGGTGGGGCTGGATTTGAACTCAGGTCTGCCGAAATCCCAAGGCCTCATGATCACAACGTGACAGAGCTCATCCCTCTTCTCCACTGTGTGACCTGGGGCAAGAGACACATTAATGACAGCCAGAAAAGAAAGTAGGGAAAGGAAAGGGTGGAGAGGTGAGAGGAGGAGAGGAGAGAAAAAATGTCCTGTCTCCAGATTGCAGTGGGGCCTTGAGAAAATCACTTCTCTTTTTGGGGCCTCAGTTTCTATCTGAAAAACTTGGGGATGGAGGGGTGGGCTGGATAGTTCTAAGGGCTACTGCCCTTGCACCTGAATCCAGTCTCTCTCTGGAAGGGCCAGGGCCCAGGCCTCTCCCTGATGCAGGTGAAGCTGGGACCCTTTCAGAGGAGACCACCTTTGGAGTCTGCACCTGGAACAGGTGAAATGGGATCCAGGGGGCAGGTGGGTGGCTTCTAAGGGAGGGAGGGCCCGCCCAAAGGAGCCCCCTCCAGTCTCTGAGTGAAGGATTTTAGGGTCAGGCCCTCTTGCTACACAGGAGGAAGGTGTAGCTGGAAGCCACCTCCCCATCCCAGAAAACCATGAACTCCCCACTGTTGGCTTGGAGCTCAGGTGGTGACATATGTCCTCAAGATCAGTGCCATGGGAGCACCAGCAGCAGCAGAGTTTCTACAAGGTCCTTCCTCCAGGCACTGTGGGATAAGAGATGCAGGTGTCCCTGAGCATGTTGAGGCGGGGAGGTGTTATGGTTTGAATGTGTTCTTCCAAAATCCATGTGGAAACTTATAGCCAAGGCAATAGTATTAAGAAGTGGGGCCTCTGGGAGGTGATTAGATCATGAGGGCTCTGCACTCATGAATGGGTTGAATGACTTTATAAAGGGGCTTGAGGGAGGGAGTATGTCCCTTCTGCCCCCTGCCTTCCATCACAACGACAAGGTACTGTCTTGAAAGCAGAGAGAGCGGCTCTTGCCATGCACCGAATCTGACAGCACCGTAAGTTGGGCTTCCAGTTGTGAGAAAGGCATTGCTATTGTAAATTATGTAAGGGGGCAGGGAGCCCCCTTCTCTGAAGCTTTAGGGACTTGCAATGCTGGGAGCCCAAGTCCTCCCTGCAGTCCTGGCTGGTCCCCACGGCCCAAACTTGAAGTCTGTCTCAGCACCCTCTGCATCTTCCAAGGCCCCCTGCCACCCTCTTCTCTCATTTTTAGAAATTATTAAGTACATAGTAGCTAGACTTTTACAAAATAATGTACATTTTTAAGCACATCCAATTGTGCTAATTCTTGACTGTGGCCTTACAACATGGAAAGGCTCCCCAGCCCTGGTCCAGAGCCTCAGGTCCACTTCTCACTCCATCTACGTCCCTGAAAACATTTGCTGCCGTTTCCTGCGAGCTGCTCTGAGCCATCACTGGTCTGAGCTGTCAGCAGCATTTTCCTGTTTTGTCCCCACAGCCCACACGGGGCTGAGATAAAGGCCCCAGCGATCCGTTTGAAATGCAAACCCTCCCGCCTCCCGCTGTTGAAAGCCCCTCAGAGGCTCCCACTGCCCCTGAAGCAAAGACCCAAACCTTGAGCTCTGCTCTCCAGCCCTGCAGGCCCGGCCTCCACCGCCCCTCCAGCCCCACCCATGATCCAGGTGGCGAAGTGGAGGCTCTGAGAGGTGACCAGAGTCGCCCAAGGCCACTCCATCTGGGGATGGTAGAGCTGGACTCACACCCGGGCCTGTCGGGGATCCGTCCCTGGGCCCGGCCAGTCCGCAGGCGTCCCGGTGGCAGGTGCCCATCCAGTGGCCTTTTAACAGCTGACAAAGAGGCTTCTTCCCCTTATCTGTGTCACAGATGGTCATGTGTCACTCATGGGAGTAAAACACTGCCCAGCACAGGGCGCTTACTGACCCCCAAGCCATGGCGGCCTCACCCACGGAACGGCCCCCACTCCACTGGCCTCCTGCGCTGGCCTCCCTGCAGCTCCCGCTCCCCCCGACTTGCTCCCCAACTTCCAGTTTGATCTCTACTGACCTAGAGAGGGGCAGGGGAGGCTTGAATCTGTCATGCCGTGTTTGCTGAGGACACTGGAGCCTTCGAAGGGGATTAGTAATTCATCACCCCTGTGATTTGGGATTTGGGGCACTTGTGGACGCTCCCTGGGCTCCTCATTAAAGAGCTAATCGGTTGGTTTTGGAGGGGCTGAGGACAGCACAGCTGGCGTGTCCTTCTGCCCTTTGCTGGGCTTTAGAAGCGTCTAGACACTGGCAGGTGCGTGCAGCAGTGTCTGAGAATAATGGCTGGGCTGCCTTGCTGGTGCAGACACCTCAGAGTCCAGCTCACCCCGTGATGACCGTGGCCCGTGACAAGCGCCAGGGCAGGTGGAGCTCCGGCCTCCCCCATCTCCCAGGGCCCTTCCTGCAGCATCAGCCCAAGCCCTGTCGGGTCTAGGCACAGTCAAGCGCTGATGGGCCAGGAGCTAGGGCCAAACCCCTGCTCTTCTCCTTTACTCCTCCTGGAGTGGCGGGAAGCCCTGAGGTCCTGAGCATTTGGGGCTGCAAATCAGGTTGTCCGCCCTTAGGCGGCCACAGTCTGATGGGAGAAGCAGGTGCCTAGGTGGACAATTATGATGCAGGATGGTTGGGTGGGTGTAGGATTTTTAGCAGCATTTTAAATGGCACTGAATGGAGGAGGTTAAAGATCAGGGGCAAGAGGGCTCGAGACCCTCTTCTGCCTGTGACTGGCCGTGGGACTCTGGCCAGTTGCTTCCCTTTGCTAAGCCTCAGTTTTTTAATCTTTACAATGTGGGTCATGTAGTAGCCGGCTCCATAAGCAAGAACACTTTTTAAATATTTTGTTTTTCTTATAGTTATTTTACATTTCAAGTTCCCAGGCCAGTAAGATGTGCTGACCAGAACTTTGTCACTTTCTATTGCACTGATGCGTTCCCTTGAGCTTTTCTCCCAGAAACGGCGGAACTTCCCTGCAGCCACCAGATAACTACAAAGCCTCCCACCGCCCGAGTGGCTGCAGAACACAAGCGAGCGACACTCCACCCCGGACCATGCCCAGCGACCCACTGAGCCTGCGGGTGCACAAGGCTGAGAGAAAGGACAATATTAACCCCTAACTCAGTATAATACCGAGATCCCGCCCTGGGAGGGACTCATTCGCCAATTTTTGATCATGGGTTGTACACACTAGCATGATTTCTCACTGCGCGTGCGTGCCCTGCGCCCCACCCCAAATACTCCACTCATGTATCATTTATTTTGCCTCCAGAAAAAACCCTGACCCTGTTTGCTGGGGAGGCAGATGTGAGGCAGTCCATATCACCCCCTCCAAGCAGATGTGTCTTCTGCAATAAATCCTCTCTTTCTTGACAATCCTCATTGTCTCAATAATTGGCTTTCTGTGCGGCGAGTAACACCGAACCCCCATGTGGGTTCGTTAACAATGTTAGCATTAGTACCATGAGCATATTGGGAGGAACGGACGTAGAGAGTGCACTAATGTGCCTGGTACATAGTAGGTACTTATTAAAATGTAGCTTTCATTACACAGATATTTCGGGAGCACCTACCATATGCTAGACTGGAAACTGAGAATTCATTGATGAACAAACCCAGACATAGCCTTTGTTCTCAGGGGTCTCAGGCTATTGGAGGAGGAGGGGACATGGATTAAATAAACACAGGGCTGCATATGAACCCCAAACTGAGGTCGGCTTTGAAGGGGAGCATGGGGCCCTGGGCAACCCCTGAACAGAAGCCCCTAGCCTAGCTGGCGAGTGTGGGCATGGTCGGTGGTAGGGGGTACCCCAAGGAGGTCATAGGTGAGCTGGGATCTGAAGGGTGAGTAAAACTTAACTAGGCGGAGAAAGAAAATTCTAGACCTGCAGAGCCCTGTGGTAGAGGAGCCCAGATGCCTTCTTGATCTGAGCAGTAGCTGTTGTGGCTGAAGAACAGAGGACAGGGGTGAGTGGGGAGGGAGGAGTGGGGGGGGAGGCGTCTCGGGGTGTCTGGGCCACACTGAGGTTTCCATCTTGCACTGAGAGCCTGGGGAAAGCTTGGAGGTATCGCAGGGGGACATTTCCACACTGTCCCTCTGGCTGCTGTGGGCGATGGGTGAGGGTAGAGAGGGGGAGGGGAGAGCAGAACCAGGTAGGGGCCATGCTATGGCCACACCAGAGGTGACCAGTGACGGAGAAAGGAGGACAGATTCGGAGACACTAGGAGTATGTAAACTGCACTGGATGTCAGGTTGAGAGAGGGAGGAGAGGGGGTGTCAAAAGGGAGGAGAATGTTCCAGAAAGAACATTCCAGCTCAGAGATAGAAAGAGGCTCCTGGCTTGGGTAACTGCATGCACTGATGGATGGAGGTGTCACTTGGGGGTAGAGGGGACTGAGAAGAGCCAGGTTTGGGGCAAGGAGCTCACGAACTTGGACTTGGGCATGTCAGGTCGTATGCCTTCGAGATGCTGCTGGGGGAAGAGTCGGCGGCTGGACCTTTCTCTGCCAGACCCGGGCTGAGAGCCCTGGTAGGGGGGTCATCCAGAGGGGAAAGGCCCTCTGCCCTCAGGGGCTCAAGCCTGGGGGCTCCCTGGACCATCACAGGTAAAGGTTATTGTTGGGGCAGTGTGGACACCCCTACCCTGATGGTCCGAGGTCAAGCTCACCTCTGCAGGATCACCTCCGGGCTGAGTCCTAGGGGACCAGCAAATTCACAGGCAGTGAAGGGAGAGGACATCGAGGGCTGAGGGGCCGTGCAGAGTCGCCGGTGCAGGGGAGCGAGTGCCGTGTGGTTGGGGAGCTGGGAGGCATTCTCGAGAGCTGTGGCGTTGGCGTCTGGGAGGAAGAAACATCACAGGAGGCCGGGAGCTGCAGAGGTCATAGCAAGAGGGCCTTGAATGCCGGGTGCAGGGTTTGCACGTTACCCTGTGGGTCTCAGGGGCTCATCAGCTTGTTGCTGTTTCAGCGGGAGGATGTGCTCTGGGCTGCACAGTTTGGGAAGTCACCTGGGTGCAGGTGAACAGGGAGGGAGGCCCTGGCAGCAGAGAGATGAGTCGAGAGACCTGCAATGGCACAGGGGACAGATAAGGGCAGGCCAGCCACGTGGGGATGCGAGAAGTGGGTGGTCAGGAGTGGCCTGGGGGAAGGAGAGGACTCCAGCCAGGGAAGGGCATGGTGTGGGCTGCGGTCAGAGGGCTCAGGTGCTGTGGAAGAGTGGGTGATGCTGGAGTGCTCTGTGGGCCAACAGCAGGTGACTGAGACATCCTTGGAGGGCCACTCTGAGGGCACAGAGTCATACAACATGGCTTTGAGACACACCAGGCATTGTCCTCAGTGCTTAACATGGGCACATGCAATAATCTTGGCAGCAACCCTGGGAGGCAGGTGCTGTTGTCGCCCCTATTTTATAGATGAGCAACCAAGACATAGAGAGGTTTATTAACTTACCCAAGGTCACACAGCTAGTTAGTGGCAAAGCAGGGGCTTGGACCCCTCAGGGCAATAGTTCATGATGTTATTAATCTTTATTCTGGATGACTGTGCTGTCACTGCCCTCAAGGAGCTGCAAGGTCATAAAATAAAACCCACAGGCAAACTGGATGTAGGGAGAGATTATTACTGGCTATAGGGTCAGAGGAGGCTTCCTGGAGGAGGCAGCACTTTAACTTGGTCCTAAAAGGGGGGCATGTTTGAATAGGCAAAACTGTTAGTTTTAACTACTAGGCATATTAGTCACTGTTGTTATTTCACATAACTTAAAGCCTCTCTAATCAATTTAAGCAGAAAAGTGGTCGAGAACTTTCTTTCCAAAGCATGGACTGGAAAGTGGTGTGTCTGGTTGGAGGAGCTTTGACTCCTGATTCCGCTGTGGCTTTTCCCGCAAAGGAGACTGGGACAGAAAGCTTCCCACATGTTCAGGCTCCGTCTCTTAAGACAGGCAATTTCATAATCGCAGAAAGGGGTTTCGGTTGCTGGGCGACCACCAACAATGGTAGGTGCTCACTCCACATTGTGATGGAGGACATCGTGTGCAGAAGCCAAAAATGCACATGTGCCGGGAAGAAAATATCCCTGCTACATCGGGGCGCCCCTCTGCATCCCTTTTTGCAAAGACAAGCAAGCAGGAGGGAATCAGTTTGTGTGGGACCAACTCCCAAATGACAAAAAGGAATTGGAGAGTTTAGGTTGCCCCTGAGAGATTCAGAAAAAGAGAATCGGATTCCTGAAAAAGTAGTTTTTATTTTCTGGAATACAAAGAAAATATTTACATTCTGCAAAGTAAAGGACAAACAAGATATTGAGGTATTTGAGTTTCTCCTCAAGCTGATGAAAGGATCCAAGGCAAAGGCTTTTAAAACTTCTATTAAAAATCTTATTCTAAGCCAGACCCCAAATTTCAAACATCCGTGAACATATTATTTGTTTTACCCATTCCTGTCCTTCAGAGATGGTTCAGATTAACCACGAACCATGTCATTATTCTTTAGTTTTCATTAAAGAATGAATGTCAGCTTTCTGTAGTCTTATTTTTTTTAAGCAATTTCCACATTGCTTTATTCTAGCTTGAATTCCACCAACCTCACTCTCAACAACAAAACACCACAACGCGAAAACTACTAGTGCTACCTCCATATATAAATAACTAATGTAGAAAATTTGGGAAAACACAGAAATCTCATCACCTGGAAACAACCAAGAATAACATCATGGTGTGTGTTTTCTCTTTCTTCTCTATCAATAAGTGAATGTTTACAAACAAAGCAAGACGAGGATAAAACTATACACACATGTCGCAGTGCATAACCTTCTAAAGAAACTAATTCATGTCTCTAAAAAAAAAAAAAAACAAAAAACAAGTACAACAGCATCTCTAGTATGCAAAAGGCCCGTATAGGTACCGTATAAACCTCTTTTTCATATTCTCTGCTACCAACTTTCAACAACAAACGTGCATTCCTTTTAAAGATCACGAAAAGAATAATGACACTTGGAGGAAGAGCGAGGGGAGAGCCTAGCACTCCGAGCCCGGGGTCCAGGGCGCGCTCCGTCACAAAGCGTCTGGGCGGCGGGTGGGGGAGGGGCGGGCGAGCACGTGCGGAGGGGCGGGCGCCGCGTCACCGTCGTCACCGTCGTCACCGCATTGTGACTCGCTGGTATTTAAGGCCGGGCGTGGCCGCGGCGCTCGCTACTTCTCCTGCGGCTGCCCCGCGACTCCGACGACCGACAGAGCAGAGATGGGCGGCGGGATGCTGGCCAGGCTGGGGCTGGGGCTGCTGCTCCTGGCGCTGCTGCTGCCCGCGCAGACGGCCGCCAACGGCACCCCCGCGCCCGCCCAGACCACCAAGGGCTCCGACTCGGGGGGCGCCGCGCTGTGCTCCTCGGTCGGCGTGGTCCTCCTGTGCGTCTCCTTCCTTCTCCACCGCTACTGTTAAGAGACTCGGCCGAGAAACATCCCTTCTCCCACCCATCTTCACTACCCAGCCCCCACGGCATCTGCAAGCTCCGCGTGCGCACGCGGAGGACAGGAATGCGGGCCTCCCTCGGCCGCCAGCCCCACCGCGCGTCCCGTGGGCGCGCACGGCGCGGGACCCCGCCCGCGGCAGCCGGACACCTTGCTGCGGGACGACACCTGCGGGCCGAGAGGACACGCGGAACAGCCGAAACACACGCAAGATGCCGTTTCCTTCAGTGGGGCTCAGGAGATGCGGACTCTTAGGACTCCACCTTGAAAAGAAGAATAGAGTTTACCTTGATTTAGAGAAAAAAGATGGGATGTGGAATAGAGATTGTTTTCATTTCGAGTCACCAAATGTGTAAGGCCATAAAAACGGTTATGTAATGTGGAAAGCCTCCGTGATTCTCTTTATGTACTCGGGAAGGGACCTCGGGTTGTTTCCGTACATTAGTACTGGCTTGATGCCCACGTACTCTCAAGTTTTACCTGGTTAAGCTCTCCCGTCTCCTTGGGGACTGAGCTCTCTCCTCTGGGATCTGGGATTTAACCTCACATTTGACTTTGTATGGGGTGATTGCCACATTCCAGAGCAAGGGTGGGTGGGGCTCTACCCCAAATCCGAGCACCGCGTGTCGTGGATCTTGCGTCTCCCCGACAGAGGCGAACGCCAGGCACTTCCCAGACACCTTCCCATCCGACAGGAGTGCCAGGTTCATTTAACTATGATATTTGACCTGGTCCCAAATAGAAGATGACTGGCTTCAACTGATTTTAGAACACTGCTCTTTGTGGACAGACAGACAGGGCCTTCCCTTAGCCATGCCAATGAGACCCAGTCCCCCGGGAGAGCGCAAGGTGGTTTTTCTTTTCATTTCTCAGAGAAATGCCATCTCAGAGAAATGGCATTTACTCTAAACACTGTCACTGGTCACAGGGGTTGACCTGCAACGTTTGTTCTGCCAAGTAAAGGCCTGGGTGGGAGTCCAGAGGGCCCAGGAAGCGGGCACTGGGTGGTAATTGCTTTGGCCAGGTGGGTCCCCAGGTCTGAGCTGCAGGTGCAGCCGGGCAGCCCAGAGTTTCTGGAAACACCAAAGCAAAATCGTGGGTTTCTTTTCTTCTTCTCCTAATTCCTGGAGTTGTAACCTCAAATGCTGCTCACAGGCCTATGTGCGCCATATCAAATCCACTGGTCCTTCGACAAGCCTTTTGTGGGATCTTTGATAAGTCCCAGGTAGTGGGTGGCAGTTTCACACTTCTCATGTCATTTCTTCTCAAAGGAGTGAATGGTAGAATTTCAGGCACTGGTCTCGGGCCAGTGGAGATGGCCGAGTAGAGTAGTTTAGTCTGTAGGCTTTCTGGCTATCAGACCTGGGTACATTTCTGGCACCACTAAATATTAGGAGATGACCTTGGAGTCATTTTGCCTCTGCTAGCTCCAATCCCACCCTCTGAAAAAGCATAATAAAATAACCTACCTGTTTGGGCTGCTGTGAAGATTAAATGAGATACTACATGTTAAGTGCTGACACATAGCTGGTGCTTCTTGACTTCTCTCTTCATTCAGCAGCCCCACTACAAGATCCCTGGGGCCCTGTGCCTGCCTTGTCCACTCCAAGGCCTGTCCCTGCCATTAGGGGGAGGGCTGCAGGGCTGGGACGCAGAATCTGGGCCAGAGAAGGCAGGAAGGAACACTTACAGGGAGTCGACTGTGTGCCTAACCCTAAACTAGTTCTCTCTTAACCATCCCAGTGCAAGGGAGCTTTCCTGGCCCCATTTTGCAGGTGGGGAAGTGGAAGCCCAGGAAGGTAACTCCCCACGATCTCACAGCTATGGTAAGAACCAGTGCCAGGACTCAAGCATGGGTCTCTGATACCGTGTGTGTGTGTTTTCCAGCACTCAGCATTCCCAGGGGAACTGGAAAACAGCTGGCAGGATCAGCCAGGGATGAACTGTGTGCCAGGGCTGGGTACTTGCTTGATGTCAAGGCAGGTAGGAAGAAGGTGGGGCCAGCTTTTCTCGGGAGCCAGCCAGGCAGCCCGGGCCCAGGCTCCCGGGCTTTCCACGTGTGTGTGAATTTCATTGCAGCTCTGCTTCCATGGAACCTTGAACAAGTTACCTAACTCCTCCATGCCTGTCTCCTCCCCAGTAAAACGGAGATAGTGAAAATTTCTCCGTGTTAAGATTGTCATGAAAATCAAATCAGAGCGGCTGGCACTGTGCTTGGCACAGGGAAAGTGCAGAACAGGCACTCGTGTTATGTAGGGCAGAAAGTTGGCTGGCTGCCCTGTGAGGACATTACTCATCGCACTAGAGCCCGAATGTCCTGGTCACGCTCCCACCTGAATAATACTCCCCCCAACCATTCTCAGCAGAAGTTTCAGGAAGGTAGCAACAGTGTGGGGTCTGCTGTGATTGGCTTGGCTCTGCCTCAGATGGACCTGGCTTCAAATCTCCACCCAAGACTAATGATCTCCCCACCATCTACTGAGACCTTTCTTGTGCCAGGCCTAGTGTTGGCAGGTGCGATTGTCCCCACGTACAGATGGGGACAATCTGTACACGGCAATGAGCTGATTTGCACAGTGCTATCCTGTAGTTCTAAGTGGTAGCTGTTTGACTCCCCAGCAGCTTATTTTGCCTGTGAACCCCTCTAGGGCAATGTCTGTGTCATTCATCTCTGTGTCCCAGCCTCCAGCACAGGGCCTGGTGCATGGAGGGTGTGCGATTCTGGAACTGAGAGGCTGGTTGACCCACAGCCATCCCCAGCCCATCCCTGGCCTGCCCCAGCATCACTGGGGCAGCTGGTGCACTGAGTCTAACCACCAAGAAGGACACTTGCCCTGCCTTGCTTGCCCTGGGCGTGGCCTCCGGCAGATGGTGAGGCTCTGTTTCAGTAACCATGGTAGTGGCTTAGACAGAGGGCTATTTCTTGCTTATACAACCTGTCCATTGTGGCTCAGTAGGGGAGGTCATGCTCATTATGATCACTGAGGGACCCTGTGCCAGAGGGGACTGTGAGTTCTGGAGGGTCTCACACCAGCAACCAAGTGGTGGATCTGGGAGTGACCAGTAATGCTCCTGTCACAATTCACTGCCCAGCAACAGTCCCGTGAACCTGCCCAGCCAGGGGGCCAGGCGCAGCCCTGCCGTGTGCCTGGAAGGGCCAGCACTGGAACTATTTGAGAACAGCACCAATGACTTCCAAGGCACCAAGATGTATAAAAGAAGAAGACTCTGCCCAGCCTCCCCTGTCTGTCCCCTCCCCCACAGCTGGTTTTACTCCCAGTTGCTCACAATCTCACTGAAGGGGGCAAGTCTATCCCCTCCCCCACTTAATCCCAGCAGGCTGGGAAGTTAGAACCATCCCAAGGGCCTGAGGTTCAGAGCAACTGAATGGCTTGCCCAAGATCTCAGAGCTTGGAAGTATTAGGATGAAAGCATCTGTCTGGCTCTAGAGCCAATTGGTCCTCCTCTCCCTGAACCATGGTGACCCTCAAAAACACCATAAAATCCACAAGGCCAGGATGAGACACCGTGGGGCAGATGGTCAGTGCCACAGACCACTTCAGTCCAGGGAACTGGGGAGGGTCTTGGAAGGGCTCACATCACGGTGGACAGACACCTGGGATAGGAGGGAGGGAAGGGCTGGCAGGTGCCAGGCTGAGTGAGAAGGCCCTGGGGGATGGAGGAGCCTGGAGAAGATGGCCCGGCCTGGGAGCAGGAGGAGCAGGGGAGGAGGGGCCGTGGCTGGGAGCGAGAGCAGACCTGGACAGAGGTTGATGCGAGTCTGTGGTGTGGACAGGACCCTGGGAGGCTCGTTAACCTCCAGTTCTGGTCTCTTCATTTTGGGGCGGGGCAGAGTCTGCATCTCTACAAGTCCCCTGATGATGCCCTCTCGCTGGTTTGAGGATCACACTTAAAGTGGCCAGAAGGCAGCGTGGACGCACAGCCTGGCTTGTAACCC